TAATTAAAGTATTCAATGCTTAGTTAATTGTTGAGCAGGTAAAGGAAAACTATTTTTGGCCTTCAAGTCCTTCTGACTTTATGATTTTGGCCCATGTGACAAAATGTTTGGACACCCCTCACTCAAACGACCTGGTTGGGTGTCAGAAAAATGTCTTGAGTTGATACTAAAAGTGGGATGTAGTATTTATATTTTGTAAAACCGGTTATTTACTTTCAGGCTGAAACTTCCTGAGCCATCTTTGATATAATGAGAAGAACTTAAAAAAACATAAAGGAAAAGAAAGGCTTCACCTTCAAGTATGCATGTTCTGTGTAAATCTCCTGAGTCAGCTGTTTGTGTTGTGTAGTAATTTTGTGTTCAGAAAGCATTGTACGGACTCTGCCTGCAAACAAAGAAGAAAGGTGATCACGTATTTCAGTTCTAACCAAAAGGTAAACTAAATCAAACATTGTTCATTATTTGGCTGTATATTTGTGAACGGATGTAGCAGTACTTTTGCAAAGGGTATCAGTGGAAAAACAAGCAGCGTGTCACAGAGATGTATTGTGATGTTTTACTGTATATTGGCAAAGCTTGTTCCACAGCTTGGTTGCTATGGAACTGATTAAAAAAATGAAAAAGAAAAAGAAAAAAAAAGGACCTTTTTCTGCCAGCCAAATGGTAGGACTGTCTTATTATACAACATGCCAACCTGTTGCGCTACATTCCGTTGAATCCTTTCCCAAACTAGGCTTATTCAAACAGTGTTACATGCCATGCTCATGACAGAGCTGAATACCAAACTTCTAACTACATTGTATTTTCATAACAACCCCAAAATCCCAGACATCTGGAGCTGAACCTTTTCACAATAACGCCAGCGTTTGTCTTTTAAAGTCTCCCCATCAGGCAGTTATTGGAGGATCTGAGGTGCAGCGTGTGTGGGCGATATTACTCAAACAGAGCAGCTGTGGTGTTTAACAAACACCTGAAATGACTACGTATGGCCGGCCGTGTTTCTGTGGCTTCAGACTGAGGTGATCCAGAGCACAACGAGACCCGCTTTTCACAGACAACTGCTGGGGTGATGAGAAAATGGTTATGTGTGCGGTTCTCATTCTGACTCATCAGTTTGAGTCAAAAATTTTGAAGAAGTGCTGAGATGAAAGAAATGTGCAGCTTGATTGTTTTAGCTCTTAGTCAGTGAACACGGTGGGCTCGGTGAGGATGAAGGCTCCGGTTCTATCAGATTTCCAGACTAGTATGTGCAAGGGGAACTTTCTCATGTGCATAAAATTGCAAAAGGTTTCAATTTTACATAAAACGGAAAAATGTCACCATGTCTTCATAAAATAAATTATATGATTGTTGGAAAGGTGTGTGTGTGTGTATGGGTGTGTGGGTATTCTGTATACTACTTAGCGAGGTTGTAATTATTGTATGCATGTGTATGTGTATTTATGTAAATGTGTATATATGTACTGTATGTGTGTATATGTTTATAAATGAGCATATGGATATATGTACATACATATGTGTATGGTTGGTTGTTGGCTGTTTGTTTTCTTCATTTTTTGATGGTCAGAGGTCGGGTGTGTTGTCTTGTGTTATTGGTGTGCATTTCACATATCGTCAAAGTTCTGTTTCTCTCTACAGTTCTTATATTTCTCTTTTTCTTCTTTACTCTAGTATTTAAAAAAATAGGTCACTAATGATGCGAAAACTAAGAAAATAACATTCAGTTTTGTTTTCCACTGAAGTGGCCAAAAAAAGGAAAGGTGATTTATTAAACAATGTTTTACAGATCCTACATAATAAATTAAGGTTTACTTTTTAGCTCTAAGTTAGCTCTTTAATGGAAATGTCTCAGTTCCACACACTTGCCTTTGTCAGCATTGTTTGATGCAGGGTTAGGGTTTAGAGCTTATTTACAAAGTTAAGAAAGACAATTTAGAATCATAACTGTCCTTTCGAAAACGTCAACAAAAGCAGCAGAACGGCACTTTAAAGGGTCCTGTTGCCCGTTGTTGTCCATAAGTGCCATTTTAAGTGTTAAGTATCTGTTTGAGCAAAAAGTGCCCATGACCTCAGAAAAGTGCAACCCTGAAGCCAATTTGATATTGAGAAATTCAAATTTGGTTTACCTCAGTCATAGGGAGAACTTCTCAATCACCTGATGTTTCACAATGATTCACGGGAACATTTATAAACGAAAAGAGACTAAACCCCAACTTTTAAATAAAAGCAAATAAAAACCTTAATTTATTATTATAATTTTTAAAAATAAAAACTAGAACTGACCACTTCCTGGTCGCCACAAGCAAACGTTTATGGTTGCAAAAACTGATGTTGCAAACTTGTTGGAAAAGGTGAACATTGATGGTGTGAAACCACAACTTTGTTTCATGCCACATGCCATGCTGGAGGTGTTATGATTGTCATCTTCTGTTTATTTTGGTGTTTTTGTGCAGGAGTACCACAAACTGAAAATAATTTAAAAGAAAAACTTTCTGGTTTACTCTAAAATAAAAATAACATTTTGTTTAAATTGTCAGAAAAAAATTATTTTACTTTTTAGCAACACCAGTATTAGATAAAAGCCATGTATGATATAAATAAATATGTATTTATAAAAACTTCAGCATCAAAAGTTCTACTTATTCTGCTGTTTAATATTTTATCATGTGCCGTGCAGTCAGCATAAAAAAGAAACTTTAAGTGATTCTGAGCACAAAAACGAAACCCATTTCTTGTTAAAACCGCCCACATTTCCTGCCGTTTGTTCCTCCATCGCAGCATCAAAGTTTGCAACTGACAGGTCCTGACTGAAGGCTGCAGGGGTTTGCTTGTAGTTAGAGTTCAAAGTTCACCTCGACAATCTGCGTAACATTCTTCACACCTGGTTTGTGGTTACTTTAATAAATGTGTGAACTAACATTGACGCAAGCAAATTGTTTTTTCAAATAGTAAATGCTTCCACATTTGAACATTGTGCTTACAAATAAGCATATTTTGATTCACGGTTTTTTTGAAAGCTTTGAAATATCAGTTTTTCTAATTTAGGTACAATAAATGAAATCTTAGCGGAGACAGTTGATGCTTCACTGAAAATTCTACACTGTTGTCATGTAATATGTTGCTGCAGTGGCTTTTTAAAACCTACCGTATTTATTTGTGTATAATACGATCTCATGTATAATACGACCCCCCCCCCCACTTTTTTGAGCTTAAAAAGCATAAAAAAATTTAATCCTCAAACTACCTTAAATTTCATACAGACTTCAAGATTTTTCAGCCTTTGCAGTCTTTATACATATCAGTAAAATGATCATTGGACTGTTCATTTTATTTTAACAACATATGTACTAAAAAGTATTTTGACAACAAATATACTGTATATCAGCTGTAGCAGCATCATATGAATTCTGGCATTTTACACATAGTCCACCAGGAGGCGCCAACACAAAAGTCAGAAACGTCACATGAGATTTGGGCCATCTTGTGGGGGAAAAGCAGATTACTTCCTACTCGCAAGCGCCCCCTCCGGTGGAGAAACGTTTTTTCAGGGATACAAACTTTTTCAGAACACCGGTAGACGGCAGCGATTATAGAAGAACATGTGTTTGTTGTTCCAGCAGCGGTCCGGTCACACGCTAATGGCATTAGTTCGTTATCATTACTAAGGTGCAGGACTGCCTTTTTTTTCTTTTTTTTTTCACATCATGTTGCCTGCCTGGATCTGTTATTATCACGCTCTGAAGCATGAAGAAGTGTCAGAGGTAAGCTCGTTTCAACTGCTTTTTATAACATGATCTCATTTCTGGACTCAATAATTTTGCCGATACTTCAGTTAAAATACATAAATAAAATTATTTATCCGTAATACTACCCCCAACTTTATGGATGATTTTATGGATTTAATTTTACGTATTATACTTGAATAAATACGGTATGCAAAATGTAGGATCGTTGCATTGCACAATGATGTTGATATCCACTATAAATTGCTGTTTTTCACTTCAGTTGGCCTCATGGCTTTGGCTCAGGGGTGAGGAATGGGATTAAAGGCACTGACAGAACTGTCAAACTGATAGCCTCTGCCTGCTGTATTTACTACAGACTCACTACAGACAATGAGGGCATGTGCCTCTATAGATGGCAGGGTGCATTCATGCAAAGTTTTTGTTTTCTTGTATTGTAAAATAAGTCAAATTCGCCATTTCTATACCACTTTTGAACGCCAACAACTCAAAGAGCAGGGGCAACGTCTACACAGTGAAGAAGGAAACACACAGACTCGGGCATTCATTAGAAGATATTCATTAAAACACAAGACAGGAGGAACACAACAGTCAGTCTGTGGCAGCATCCAACCCCCCCGTTATCTGACACTGCATTAAGAATGTATGACTGAGATTTTCATATAATGTGTCATATCACAAAGTGGCAGGTTTTCCAATTGTCCAATAATGATCTATTTGCCAATTCAATACGGCTGAAGAAGAGACGGCAGGCGGGCGTAAAATGAATAAAACATTGAATGGAGGGATTGTGACAGTTCCATTTCAATCTCTCCTTGCCTCTCTGGTGAAGTCTCCTAGAAGACTAGTGTGCTATTGGGGTAAAACCAGCACTTGGACGGCTGCCTGAGTTGTATGCACGTTGCATTTTTCTGTTCTCTTTATCTGACACTAGACGCCTACGATGCACTACTTTCACAAGCAGCAAACGTCTTCTCGCATCTGCTCTCCTGTTAAGATAGTTTACTGGCAATATTCAAGCTGGCTGCTAAACATTCTGTCTATCCGTGGTTAATTAGATAATGCCAACAGGGCTAAATATAAATATAAGCTACTAATGTGACCCCCCTTATGTGTAAATGTAAAGGAGAGTAAGTTGGGGGTGTTTGTGCGTCTTGATGATAGCGATTATCAAGTCTGCAATAAAATGTGTGATCATCTAATTGGAGACGAAATAAGAAAATCAGCCTGCAGGGAAATGAAGAGACGTGTGGCATGTTCACTTTTAAACTTTTTTTTTTACTTTATTATGCAGGTTTGAAATAAAAGAAGCATTGTGACAGGAACTGATGCTGCTGGCAAGGAAAGAAAAATAAAGCAGCATCCAAAATATATAAAAAAATAATAACAAAAATCATTGTCGTGATCATCATCATCATAATTATATATCAAACCAAAGCAAAGAGCAAAAACAAAGTCAAATAAGAATAAAAATACACCTCCATTGTAAGAAGCAAAAAGTGATCTAATCTTTGTTTCATAAATAAGAAAACCTGTCAAACAGCTGATGAGCAACTAGCAAAAAAAAAAGTACTGATAACCATTTCAAATATTTATCAATACTGGCTTTACAAATAAAATAACTACAGTTGGCAGGTTTTTTTTTCTTTTACACAACTTTAAATGTTATTGTCTTGCAGCAACTAAAACTGAAATTCTGCTACACAGAAGAGATAAAAACGAGATGTTTTTTTTTTTTTGTCAGCGAAATGCATTTCTGTTAATCACACAAAAGTTAAAAACATGAGCTCAACACAACCAAACACCAACCAGAAACCTATATTAAAAAAAAAATGAAGATCACTGTTAACGTGGATGTGATGGCTCCATTCACGTCCTGCAGTTCTTCACTTCTGCATGTCGAGGAGACAACATCAACGGTGTGGTCAGATAATAAAACAAAATTGTGTATGTGTGTGTGTGTGTGTGTGTGTGTGTGTGGGGTGGGCATTCTGAGGCAGTAATTTTTCCTCGCCCCCACCGACTGCCACCCGAAATTTTTTACATCTCATTTTATCTCACAGCGTTTTCTTTTCTGTCTCTGTGCTCTGGATTCTCTCACCTGGCTCTTTCCATTTAATGATCTGCAGGACATATATTGTGTATTTGGTTTGAGATTGAACTTTATTGGAAAAAAATAAATAAAAAAACACACCAGTGAGCACAGATTTAATGCAAGAATGAAAGTGTGAAATACTCCTTCTGAAATCCAGCTGCACAAGGCTGTTAAAATTCACGAGAAAGACTCAAACACGGGAGACACTCGCACACCTCTGCACACGCGCACACATGCATACACACACTCAACTGTTCACGTCATCAATGTGGTCCACTCTAACGTTCAGACATACACACACACACACACACACACACAGTAACATACAGGTACTATTAAAGAAGAAACAAATCTACCTTCCAATCTGAAATTTGATCCCATAAAAGTGATATTTACAATCACACTGTGAAAGATTGGTAGACCTCAACGGGTCTTTAATATAAAATAAAAAAATAATTAATTTAAAAAAAAGTTTTCTTTCCTAGCTCCACTCAAGATTTGTGGTTGATTCTTCAGGCCCGTAAGCAAAGCTACCATAACATCAAGGCCTACGCTGAACGTACTAGGAGTTAATTTTTCTCTACATAACAGGGCCCATCACTTTTTTTTTTTGGCAAAAAATAAAGGATTAAAAAAATTTAAACAAAACAAAACAATGACAATAAAAGTAAAATATTTCTGCAAGCAAGAAATAAATAAGACGAGCATCAACAACAATAGAAATAAAAAAATAAAGAAAAATAAATGACAAAAATGGAGATAGTATATTTAATTTTTTTTTTCTTTTCATTCTACTTAAAGCTGGATGGGGTCCCTGAGGGGACTTTTGATGGTGACACACAAGAGGAGCTCTACAGCCTGCATCGGATGGGGCTTAGAGACACACAACTCAGGAGGAGCACGAGGAAATGCATCGTAAGTGCTTTGCAAATTTAAACAGCGAGGGACTGCTAATACAATGAGTGGTACAGACAGTAGTCATCTAGTCAAGAAAAATAATAATAATAATCACAGAATCTATGAACTGAGAAAAATAGGAATTACTCAGAGAAAGAAAGATGGTGGCTGAATGTCTATGTGTATGTATGAGATGTTACTGTATGTCAAGAGTACACGGGATCTAAAGGTGGGTCATAAGGGGGGGGGGGGGGGGCTGGGAGAGGAGGGGGCGAGGGATGAGAGTAGACTCCTTGGTGTCGTATTTGTCAGCAGAGTAAAATCTTCAGGTTCAGGTGAGGTAGAGTGGCTTGTCCCTGCCTATCATGTTGCCACTGGAAGACAACAAGAGAGAAAACAAAGCAAAAAGAAGCAGAACAACAAGTTAAACTTTGACTGAACACAGACACGGTAAAAGTAAAAAAAATAAACAAAACAATAAAACAATACAGTATGTATGGATTATTGTAAATACTTTAAAGGGGACATATCATGCAAAATCCACTTTTTTAGCTGTTAAATGAATGTTGTTGTGGACTTGGAGTCTCTAGGAGTGCAAACAGTTTGAATATAGTTTCTCCTGGTGCTGCGTAGATACGGTAGCTCTATAATCTGTTTGGGTCATAATTTTCAATCCGGTCAGTTTTATGTATTATCGATAACATTTTCTGAACTATTACGTCACATTTTTAAGATGGAACTGCCAAATAAGGTCTGGACTTACCAACCACAATTTGGTGGTCTTTATTCTCTTCTAGCTCCAACATGTAAGGCTGGATGGACAAATCCTCCCTTGTTGACACTTTTATTTAACTTATAAATAAAATGTTTCTGTGCCACTAATCCCTCTATCAAACTAGAATGGACCACTCAGGAAGCTGGAGTGGGGAGAGGTCCGGACAGCCTTGTTTGGATTTAAAGAGACAGTCTCAAAAAGAGTTGATCATCTCATAAAGTGGTGAAAGAGGGGCTTGTGGAGTTACAATAAGGAGAAATCCAGACCAAAGCATTGCAGTTACACTTTATATAGACCCCAACTGAACAAGTTAAATGTGAAAAAGAAGGATTTAAAAGCATGACATGTCTATTTAAAATTTCTGGTTGTCAGATTCCTTTGTCTTAGTATTTTTTTAACCTATTCATAAAATATTAAATAAAATATTATATTATTTGTAAACTTGTGAACATAATTTGTGGTCCTGATGAAAACACATATTTTAGAGGTTATTAAGACTGTTTATTACACTTTCCTGTGTTTTTCCCTTTTTGAAGCTGAGGGTCTCCAATGGGTGTAACATTATTTTATAAATTATTTAACATGTCATGAATTATTTAAATGGTAAATGGACTGAACTTATAGAGCGCTTTTCAAGTCCCTCCGGACCCCCAAAGCGCTTTACACTAACAGACATTCACCCATTCACACTCACATTCACACACTGATGATGGCAAACTACACTGTAGCCACAGCTGCCCTGGGGCGCACTGACAGAGGT